CGGTTGCCTGTACTTGGCGCGAGACTCGACCGAGTCTCTTGATGTACTTTCAACCACGTTCGGAATCATTTGATTATGTCCGGGAGTATTCGGTAGCATTCGGAAAGCGCGAACTTCATATTTGGTGCACATACCAACCATGTTTGAAATTCGAAATCACAAGAATTTTTTTTCTTGAAGATAAGCTATTAATATTAAATTAATACATTAAAATCATGTAAATGTGGTAAGTATGTATAACTATTATATAACAGGCATGACATGAAAATGACAAACATGTAAATCGTTGTAGATCACCATGCAACGAAAAGAGAATTTCACCATCGAGGAAAAAGCGTTAGTCGTACAATTTGTAAGCGACAATCGTGATATATTAGAGAATAAAGCAAATAATACTAGATTCCAAAGGAGTAGAAGAGACAAATGGATTGAACTAACAGAGAAAATGGCAGCGACTAGAATTAAGAGGGATTGGAAAGATATTAGAGGTGCATATCAGCGGTGGAAACTCGCAGCAAAGAAGACTATTTCTTGCTATCGCAAGCATGCGACTGGTATAGGGGGAGGTCCTGCACTCCCAGAACCTTCCAGGCTCGATTTCACAATCAGTGAAATTTGCCCGGAAGATTTTGTGGAGGATGAAAATCCCCACGACTCCGATAGCCTAGTATGTATTATTTGTATTATAGTTTTAATTAATTATATTAATCTACATTATTATATATATTATTCGAAATATATTCACATTTGCAGAGAAGAACGAACCCAACATTGAACACGGTGGAAGAGTCTGAGAATGAAGTCACTTACGAACTGGATCCGACAACTGGGTATAATAATACTTGATATATTCGTATTCATATTGTCATCTTCCTTATTTGTTTATGATGTTGTATTTTACGTCCCAAAGATTTAAATCTGCGTGATTGATGATTAATTTATAAAAATGACAAGTAGCAATTTTTAATTTGGTTAAAATATATTTTAGTGAATTAGTACTTATACAGTCGAACCTACCTCAGGCAGATCCGTCGTGTTCCACGGAAGTTGGTAAAAGAAGTCATGGGGATAGGACCTCGCCTGAGCCAGTACGAAAGAAGATAAAAAAGAATATGACAGCCTACGAAGCAGCCATGCTCGAATTGCAAACGAAAAAATTGGATGAAACGTTGCGTTATATGGAAGAAAAGCACAAATTAGAAATACAAATTATGAAGCAGGAACACGATCTTAGAATGGAAATTTTGAAGGAACAGTTAGAGAAAGAAAGATTTTTGCAAGGACCAGAAGAAAAGAAAAATTGAGTTTTGCAATTCGATCATAGCTGCTGTGTAAGGAATTGCTGCGAGTTTCCACCGTCGATGCATCTGTAATATCTTTCCTAACTCACTTACTTACCAGTCACTGCTATTTTCTTCGTTAGATCTATCCATTTATTTCTTTTGCTTTTTTGCAATCTAGCATTATTCGTTTTATTCTCTACTAGATCACGATTGTCGCTTACAAATTGTACATATGATTTTTCTTTGACAAAAAACTTTTGTAAATCTTTTTTCCTATGATTAATAAAAACTTTTTACTTTTTTTACATATGTATTTCTTATTATTAATGGCATGGGTAAATGAGAAATAAAAATATCAGCATTATAATGTAAAACAAAGTTTCATTTATTGAAATGAGAGCAAGAAATCCATAAGTTTTTCGAAAGGAACTTGATCCATTTGAATTGTTTAGTCCTCGTAGAACTTCTAGCAGATATCTTCATCGAAAGACAGTATACAGATGATCAGATGAGGCAGATAGGTTAGAGCCTCAGCACCTCCAGCAATGCAGGAACTCCTTCATGCGAAATGTCTTCGCACGAAGTCCCTGCGGAACATATTCCCTGCTACCAGACAGAATCAGGAAGAGGCTGCTCTTCTATACCTTCCGAAGAAGATTCGCAGGCCTCTTCCTCATCCGAATCAGGATCTGTAAGAAAATTACTTTAAGTTAAAACTATTTAATGAGAAAGTTTGAATGAATTTTATATTCTTACCATAGCCATCATTGTCATGGTGTTCCTTCTGGATGTTAAACAAAACAGCCATAGCAATGAGGGCTGTTTTTGCTGTCGGAAGGATATCTGCATGACATTGCGAAGGGCTTTAAACATGCCCTTCCATTCCCCAAAGCAGTGCTCTACAGTTATGCGTGTAGATTTATGGGACCTGTTATACCTCTGTTCAGGTTGAGTTTGAGGAGATTGGATCGGTGTTAGAAGGTATGGCTTGCATGGGTATCCAGCATCCCCAAGCAAGATTCTCTTTATCTTCGAGGTCTATTAAATAAGAATAAATATATTATCACTTCATTGATTACCTAATATCAAACATGCTTTTAATAAATGAAAAAATGCTTACCTCAAACTCTTCCTTCAGAGAGGACGAAACTCATATACGTGCATCGTGAACACTGCCTCGCCATTTAGCAACAATATCCAGAATACATCTCTGAGCATCGCACACTACTTGCACGTTGATAGAATAATAACCCTTACGGTTAACATACAACATAGCTCGCTCCCGACTGGGTTCTTTATTGCAATGTGGGTGCAATCAATACAGCTCACAACCCCAGGAAAGTGGTCTATGTTGTAAAACTCCGTTTTAAGAGCTTCCATTCTAGCTGGATAAACAACAAATCATGGAAACAGTGCAGCAATAGCATCAGATACTTCTGCAACTATTCTGGATACGCTAGGCTGGGAAATGCCATGCAGATCTCCTTAAATGTATAATAATTTTATTGATATCATGCAAATGACAGAGTATTATAATAATTTATTTTAATATTAATTTTCACAACGAGCATTGACTTATGGTAATGACTCACCTAATTCTGTCTGGTAACATCCTTTAGCATAGAACCGCAGGGCTACAAGCACCTGCATTGCTGGGGATATGTCGGTGTGGTGACCGGCATGTGACACTAACCTATCTTCCACTAAACTGATCACAAATCGTACACTGTCTTTCGATAAGCGATATCTGTTTCGAAATTCACGATCACTAAACAATTCAAACGGATCACGTCTCTCTCGAAAAACTTGCGGATTTCTTACTCTCATTTCATTATCCCCCAAAAAACACTTACGTGTAAAAAACTACGCCAAGTACAGGATTGCTGTGAATTCCTCTAACAAAAAGTATTGATATCATATTATTGAGGCCAAGTACATAAGTCACTACATGTTTTCCTATTATATGATCTAGCACTGGC